CGTACTGTACTGTATACTGTATACTTTACACTTTATTACGTAATATTATTATATAATATTACTTATTTGCTTAATAAATTTAAAAAAGAAAATATCCATATGCATGAATAGAGAAATTTTTGCGAAAAAGAGGAATTTCAGCGAATTGCCTTATCATCACATGGCAGCGCTCCATTTCGTCGTAATTTGTAGTAAACAAATGAGGTTCAAACGAGAGTAAAATGTAATTTTTAAAATAAAGATTTTTTAGGTAATAAACYTACTAAAAGTGTAAAATGCGGATTTATTTAAAAGTTTATAGTGTAAATTAATTAATTTAAAGTGAAAAATGTGAATAAAGTGTGTTTAAAGTGGGGAAATAGCCACTTGAAATGTCCGAATTTTGCGAATTTTTGAACTTTGAGGTCGAATATCTCCTAAACTAAGCGTTTGCGGTACCTATAACCCCATATATTTTTTGATCAGGAGAACGTCCTCTTTCCAACGGTACCTTCAAATCGCGGCGCCAAAGAAATCGGAATTGTGTCAAAAGTGACATTAAATCATTACATTTATTAAATGATAATAAAATTCGGACAAATAGTATTGCAAAAGGTTTTGGTCAACGTCAACAGTGAAATATGTTTCAATAATTTTCTCCAGATTAATGTTGCTGTTGAAGAAAGCATAAAATAAGATTTTCTCGCTTTTAAAAATAATATCTAAACCAGAGGTGGACATAAGTTGATTTTCCTATGCACGCCTGCATGGGGCCTCTGCTGCGACGAGCAGCACAAAATATTACGCTATTTATAGAATACGAACCATCGGTAGCCCTCGGCACAATGAAGACTGAATGCTATCATACCAGTGGCTATGGGAAAGCAAAACAGTCTCATGCACACACTTGTTCAAGCAACACCACACTGCGCTATTTCAAATATACAGTGTGAGCTAACAATGTTTATGCGCGAATGGGAAGAAAATTTTTTCTTTATAGAAAATTTGGATGGAAGAGCACAATGTCTTATTTGTTACGACATTGTTGGTCGCAATTCTAAATTTTGTTTAAGACGACATTATTTCTCTTGCCATACAAATTTTTTACTGGAGGTGAGCGGAAGCTAATGCTTTTGCAATTGCAAGCAGAATTTTTTTTAAAATTCATTGCAGATGATAATGATACTGAAACTGATAATGGTAAAAATAATAATAAAGATATTGATTTGCCTTTAATAAAGGCATCTTTTACTGTTGCGCTGGCTTTGCAAAGCAATGTCGCCCACTTGAAGATGGCCTTTTTTCCTTAAATTTGTCTTCAAAAGTTTTGGTGAAAAAGGGCAAGAAGTTTTGAAAATCATAGAAAAAGTACCTTTATCTCGTCGATATAAGCAAATTCATCCACTCTGAGACTTTGGTTGAGAGTACTGATCTAAATAGTATTTGTCAACTAATAACACTGGTTTACAGCAAAAATGTTCCATGAACGCCTCTATCCAATTTGTATGTGGAATCGCTCGCAGATTTCGAAAATGGAATATTTTTTTTT